TTACCACCCCATAAACACCATATAAGGCTAATGTGGAATGGTACTTTTTCCCTGTACATTCCACATTATTACAAATAACCATTTCTGGACATTTATGGTTTGATTTCTTTGTATGTATGAATCACTTGGGTTGTTACCGACATCTGGTGAAAATTTCATGTCATTAGCACCTCTAGTAATATATTTACTGAGAAAAATGGTGACGTGTTCAGTACTTATTTTACCCGCTGTATTGTGGCATTTAACCAGGCAAATCCCATTGAGATCACAGATCTCTTTTTCAAGGACGGCCTGAAGGGAACCTATTGCGCGTTTTTGCGGTGTGGGGTAAAGCAGAGTACACGGAGAAAACCTACGCAAGCAGGAGAACATGCAAACTCCACACAGAAAGACCCCAGGTCTGAGCCTTGAAAGAATTGTTGTTTGTATGTAGGTCTTGCTGGACAATAAATTGTCTCAGAAATGATAAACGATAACATCATTTGGAGACCACTTTAAACTAATATGATGATATACTACACCCACCCCACACTTACAAATAGGGGTGTCCCGATACCGATACCAGCATCAAGTACTCGTACTCGTAAAAGCCGGCCGATACTCTTAACCGATACCGCTTTTGTCCCCTCCTGTGCTGCGCTGCAGCATAAAGGGTAATAAAGGGTAAACAACAGTCCATACCAGGCGGGGGCGCTAACGCACTGACAAGTTATTTCCGACCACACCCCTGAATAACAGAAGAAGAACGATGAGAAGAAGAAGAAGTAAAGTTGGCAGTTTGGAGATATTTTAAGATCGRCACGGAGGACACAAACAAGCAGACTGTCTGCTGTGCTCTGCTAACTGTCGAGGGGAGGAGYRAAAGTTGGATGTTTTRACAGCAGCAATTTGATTCAACATTTGAGGACAAGACATGACAAAGAATTCAAAGAGTTTGCTGCTGCTAGCAGTAGCCTTCATAAACAGCACTATATGCTGCAGTTGTTGCAGTAACTTCAATGCTGTTTTTTCTTTCTTGTAGAACAAACTAAGACATAAGCAGAATATGGAAGGAAGTTTGTTGTAAAAGCATTTTATTTTTCCCTCTGGTTCTTCTGAGATTTTGTTTTAGTTGTTCCATTTAAGTTTGAACTGAAATTTACTGCACTTTATTACTATTAGTCTTTTTTTTGTTAACAGTTTAAGACTGAAGCAGAGTAAACTTTTAGAGATGTGCTGCTAAAATTTACGTTATATTTTACATTTTAATTTAAATTTGGTAGTTGCATGTTGAGGAAAATGTATAAAAATAACTTATTTAGTTTTTTAATGTATGCAACAGCATTTGTTTTGCAGTATTTGTATTGTTCATACATTCAGAGGGAGTGTGGCCTTATAAAAAAGAGCCTGTTTGAAATAAAATAAATGGTTTCAAAAGTTATGGTGTGATWWWTATACCAACTTATCTACTTGTCAGAGTTTGCACTACCTTTTTATTGTCAAACATAATATTTACCCATCAGTTTTTCTATGATAATTGCATTTCATTTTCATTCTGTTTAATATTCAACAAGTTGAACAGATACTGGACACGGACTTTATGGTAGATGTGTGTTTCCTTTCTGATTTGTTCAAACACTTAAATCAGTTAAACCTCGGACTACAGGGCAGAGAGAAAACCGTCATTGATCTGGTGGAACAGACGCACACATTTCAAGCCAAACTGGAACTATTTTCTGCAGACTTGAGCTCAGGAAGAATGTTGCATTTTCCTACGTTATGCAAATGCATCACACAGACGGCACCTCTCACAGCAGCGATGATGGATTTAGTTGTGAAACTAAAAGACAACTTTGCCAGCCGACTGAATGGCCTTTCACTCCCCACAGAGGTGATGCGCTTTACCAAAGACCCATTTGCTGCTCTTGCTACAGACAACAATCTCTCCGCCAGCGCAAAGGGAGTGGTCGCTTCTATTGAGGAGGGGGAGTTCGTTCTTGAACTTGTGGACATGCAGTCATCACTGTCGCTGCCTGAAGAGCTGCGCACAAATGGACGATTAAGTTTTGGAGTGACATAAATGTTCACCAGTTCCCAAACCTTAAGAAAGTGGCTGTTACTGTGCTTAGTAATATATTTTATAATAACAATAATAATCCACATGAACCCCGCTACTTGGTATCGGTATCGGCGAGTACCTAAACTGAAGTACTCGTACTTGTACTCAGTCTTGAAAAAACTGGTATCGGGACACCCCTACTTACAAATTTTATGGAAGTTTAAAATTTTTTACATATGTTTAAAAAAAAGGTTACGAACTGAGCTGGACCGATGATTGGAAAAAAAAAAAAACACAAAACAGCCGAAGCTGTAAAATCACTTCTCACCACTGACCACTCGCATTCTGCTGCTTAAGAAGCTTACAAAAGTTTACAAAATTTACAAAGTAAAAAAAGACCACCTCTGAGGAAACCCAAGGTTCGGCCTGGTGCCCAGAGAACATCCTGAGGCATCGCCCGCTGAAAGAAGGCATCAACGAACCAAAAACGCTCCTGTCAACCTGTATCAACCTCATTTTAATTACTTGTGATAATTTTATTTATATTGCTTATTGCAACAGGCCTGTTTGCATGCTCACCAGTAAAAGGTGCATTCACTGCACTCTAAAAAAATGAGATATTACAGGTATGATGGGAGGCCTAGCATTCCTTAAAGGAACACATATCCTCTCATGCCTTAAACTAAGATCATCACGTTTATAAAAGAGTGTACCTGTCAAATATCCCTCACTATTGCAACATGTCACACTCAGTATGTGTTGTGAGTGACAAGAAATTTCACCTCAATTTGCATATAAATGAAAGATTTTTTTTTGGCTTAGGTCTCTCGTCTAATTCAGAGGGATTACAGGGGTCCATGTTTCAGTGTACTACTCATTACAGCTTGAATAATTGATCAGTACAATCTGATTTATTATTTATTTACATACAGTGGACCATTAGAGACATGCCCTGTTCCCATGAAAAAAAAAAAAAAAAAAAGGCCCAGACTGATTGAATTATGTTGTTTGTCACAGGAAGGGATGGCAGTGAACGTCTACGCCACGTCTGTGTCCATCGACAACCTTAGTCGACATGACATGCTGGCATGGGTCAACGATTCTCTGCAACTCACCTACACCAAGATCGAGCAGCTCTGTTCAGGTAAACGCCAAGCCTGTTTCTGGGTGAGTTTTTGTTGAAAACAAGATAAATAAATAAAATTGTTTTCCTGTGTTTTGCAGGAGCTGCTTATTGCCAGTTCATGGACATGTTATTTCCAGGGTGCATTCTTCTGAAGAAGGTCAAATTTCAAGCAAAACTGGAGCATGAATTTATACACAACTTCAAAGTTCTTCAAGCAGCTTTTAAAAGGATGAGCGTTGACAAAGTTAGGATCCTTTTATTGTACTCAATATTTCATTCAGTACCATTAAACCAGAGATCAAAAATGTTATCTCCTATACATATTTTAGAATTCATTAGAATTATTTTGTGAATGCTGATTCAGCATTTACAGGATTGTTTTTGTTAATTTTTCCTGTATGTTTTTGCAGTCTAATTACTTCTGCATACTTTGGGCATTTTAGCCAGTCATTTATCAGAATATGCAGATCATTCAGGAGATAAATGGTATAATTTTTAGTTTCTCTGACATTTTTATCTTAACTTTATTTAAAAACATTTTTTCATTGAAATACATTATTTTAAAAATGTGTTTCAGCATCCTTGTTCTGTTTTTTGTATTGTAAATTTAGCTTTTAGCTTCCATTCTTCTACTTGTACCTTTTAGATAGCCTTTTGCTACTTTAGCTTTCAGCATACCTTTTGCTGCTTTTAGCCAATCTCATTTTTATGCATTTAGCAACTTGTAGATTTTAACTAGCCTTTTCTCTTTTTATGTTTTTGCTTCTATTTTGTTACTATTAGTTTTTAGTTACCATTCTTTGGCTAGTATTTTGCCTCTTTTTGTTGTAACAACTTTGCTGAAAGTGAGCAAAATCTTTTGCACTCGTCGCTCTGTATCTACTGCATGTTCATAGAAGATGCCATTTCTCTAATTTTTATGTTGTGTATCATTAATTTTTTTCTGCTGTCCAGATAATTCCTGTAGAAAAGCTGGTAAAAGGAAAATTCCAGGACAACTTTGAATTTGTGCAGTGGTTTAAGAAGTTCTTTGACGCCAACTATGACGGGAAGGAGTATGACCCCATACTAGCCAGACAAGGGCAGGATGTGGCCCCTCCTCTCAATCCAGGTGATCACTTTATCCACAAACCAAAGAGAAATCCAGGTAAACCAAACAACTTTTGCCTTTGCTGCACGGCTTTGCTGAGCTTTGGATGGCTCTGAAAGCACTGCCAGAAGACAGGTGGTGCGTGCAGCACAACCTGACAGAACGACTGCTGTCTTCTTAGACCATTCTGAATGCTGAGGATCTACTGAACTGTGACACTGGAGGTATGACTGTAATCACCTGTAATCATCCAGGGTGCATTCTTCTGAAGAAGGTCAAATTTCAAGCAAAACTGAAGCATGAATTTATACACAACTTCAGAGTTCTTCAAGCAGCTTTTAAAAGGATGAGCGTTGACAAAGTTGGGTGATAGCCTAATATATTGACCTTCAGGAATATTTTACACTTCATTGAATAATTTGTTTTCATGATTTTTGTTAAAGAAAATAATCACACAAGATAACTTGAAACTRGCAAAAGTAATTAAAAAAATCTTAAATGAAAATCAGATATTGCTTCTGTATTTTGGCTCACTAGATAAAAAAGAAAAACAAATAAAATGAATCTGGACTCCACTCTGGCTGAAAGTTAGATGAAAGTTAGTTTTTAGCTACAGTTCTGTGTGCAGCTGTAGACACAGGAACACCATTGAACAATTATTGATTATTATTATGATTATTATTACCGGTAAGTCTGGTAACACTTTCTCCTCATCACCCTTCTTGTACCCACGCAGGTCTATGGCGTTCTGCAGCTTGTTAAAAAAATAGATTGTTTAAAAACATCCATCTTTCTAAAATACTAAGCGCCGTGGCAATAAATGCGTCATAGTAGAAGCTTAGTTGCATTAGCTTAGTATTTGTCAAACATTTTGAGAAAATCCTTGGTTGAAAATCACAATAATGACAGATGTCGGCAGGGAAAAAACCCAGGGTGCAGGCAAAAATTCAAAGTGCTACAAAAAGGCTTAATTAAATAACAAAAAGGCTGGCGATGCAGCTCAATATTCCTTAGTAGCTCAGGAAAAACATGAAGACACCACACAGGCTGAGGGGATGCAGCACAATGAACCAACAAAACACTGGTGACAAGACTCAGAATACAAAGCAAACAAATTAAGAGACAATGGGAAACACCTGASGAGACACAAGAGGAAACAGGTGAGCGTGGGCGGGGCTGGAGGCAGGACAGCAGGAAAGAGATACACAGAGAAAACACTGGAAAATGAACGCATAAACACACAGATCATGACAAATAATCCTAAATCGTTGACTTTGTTTCTTCTTGACCTTGTGTGAATATAWGACCAATCATTGTTTGTTGGGTTAATAATGGCTGATGAATAGCCACAGTGCATTGTGGAACGAAGCATAAATAATATGATCATTTCCTATCATGAAACCTAATTTCCCAAAATGCAAAGAATTCTGCAGAAATGTAGAACTCAGTTATTACCCCCAGTGTCCTGCATCAGAAGGCAACTTCAGCTCTCTGAAAGCTGGTTTGATAAGCAAAAACATGTTGATTAGAAATAGTTGTGACATGCCCAATTTGAATTCCACTGGGTCAAAAACCAGCTTTATGACTCTGTCACTAGTTAGTTGTGTGGATGGAAATGGATGGAAAGTCTGCATTTATTTTCTGAACTGTGATAAATGCGTGTTAGCATGTTTTGTCTTTGAGACATCTTTGCTGAAGCACTTATAGAGGTTTGGTTGTGTTTTTCTTCAAAGGATTTTAAAATAAATAAGCACGTTTTAATAATTTCATAATAACCACCCCAATTCCCAAACATTTGGAATGTTGTGTAAATTGTAGATAAAACAGAACAATGATTTGCAAATCTCATAAAGCAATATTTTGTTTACAATGGAACATAGTAAACACACACTGCCTGGCCAAATAAAAAGGTCACACTCTAATATTTTGTTGGACCGCCTTTAGCTTTGATTACGACACACCTTCTCCGTGGTATTGTTTAGATAAGCTTCTGCAATGTCACAAGATTTACGTATTTCCATCTAGTGCTGCATTAATTTTTCACCAAGATCTTGCATTGATGGTGGTAGAGTCTGACCGCTGCACAAAGCCTTCTCCAGCACATCCCGTCCGTCTGTCCGTCCGTTTTCTGCCACTTATCCGGGATCAGGTCGCGGGGGCAGCGGACTTCAGACTTCCCTCTCCCCAGCCACTTGGACCAGCTCATCCGGGGGAATCCCAAGGCGTTCCCAGGCCAGCCCAGAAACATAGTCCCTCCAGCGTGTCCTGGGTCTTCTTCTGGGCCTCCTCCCAGTGGGACATGCCCGGAACACCTCACCAGAGAGGCATCCAGGAGGCATCCTAACCAGATGCCCGAGCCACCTCAACTGGCTCCTCTCGATGTGGAGGAGCAGCGGCTCTACTCTGAGTCCCTACTGTATGACTGAGCTTCTCACCCTATCTCTAAGGGAGAGCCCAGACACCCTGCGGAGGAAACTCATTTCGGCCGCTTGTATCCGGGACCTCGTTCTTTCGGTCACTACCCAAAGTTCGTGACCATAGATAAGGGTAGGAACGTAGACTGCCTGGTAAATCGACAGCTTGGCCTTCTGGCTCAGCTCCCACCTCACCACGACAGACCGGCATAGCACCTGTATCACTGCAGACGCAGCACCAATCCGCCTGTCGATCTCCCGCTCCATTCTTCCCTTATTCGTGAACAAGACCCCGAGATACTTAACCTCCTCCACTTGGGACAGGACCTCCTCCCCGACCTGGAGGTGGCACACTACCAGTTTCCAGCTCAAGACCATGGTCTCGGATTTGGAGGCACTGATCCTCATCCCGGCCGCTTCAAACTCGGCTGCGCACAGCTCCAAGTGAGAGCTGGAGATCATGATCTGATCTGATCCAGCACATCCCAAAGATTCTCAATAGACTCTGTGGAGGCAATCCATGTGTGAAAATGATGTCTTATGCTCCCTGAACCACTCTTTCACAATTCCAGATGAATCCTGCCATTGTCATCTTGGAATATGCTCGAGCCATCAGGAAAGAAACAATCCATTGATGGAATAACCTGGTCGTTCAGTATATTCAGGTTAGCTGACCTCATTCTTTGAGCTCATGCTGTTGCTGAACCTAGACCTGGCCAACTGCAGCAACCCCAGATCATAGATTAAACAAAGAAGCTGCACTATTTTAAGGAACAAAACAAGGCAATTTTTATTTTATAGCATCAGTACATCTCAAGGATCATTGGAACCGGGTCATGTTTCCCACTGAATGAAGCTTGCCCTCTTCTTTCAGTAGTCTAAACATCTAGGAACTGGGAGCAGTTGTCAAAAGTTTTGAGTGGAATGTTGTTCTTGTCTGGTATAGGATTCTACCTGTTTTAACAGTCCTACGTCTTTTGCACTGGATTCTTTGGTTTCATGAAGCACCAAATGTTTAATAGGTAGATGTCTGGACTGCAGGTCAGTCAGTTTAGAACCTAACTCCTTTACTACAAAACCCTGCTCTTGTAATAATTCAGTATGTTGTTTTTGACAAGATCTGGATATTGAATTCAGATCAATAGCCGGACAAAGGGTATTTTAAATGTTTATTTAAATGAGTCAGGTGGTGGGGGTCAGGACTCTGAGGCAGGATCTCTTTAGGAAGGAGAGGACATATAAGTGACTGGTTTACTCTGTAGATTTACTGGATTGTCCCTCTCCTCTTCAGAACAAAGGTCATGGCATCTGGGTTCTTATAAAGAATTTAAAAGTTACTGGGCCTTGGTCCATTTTATATGAACTATAGTTCAGATCAGACCGCTGTGTCTGAATGGTGTTCACATGACATTTTCTTCCCATGACCAGCATTTGTGAATGGCACACCAGATGTATTGATGGACAATGATTTGTGGAAGTGTTCTTGAGCCCAAAATCAGACCTGTTTTTATTGCAATGAACCCCAAGAGCCTGACGATCACAGGCGTCCAGTACTGGATTTTGGCCTTGTCCCTGGAGCTCAGAGATTTCTCCAAATTCTTGAAATCTTTTGATATTATGTTGTTGGGATAGATAATGATATATTCAAAGTCTTCCCAAATTTTAATTGAGGAGTATTGTTCCACCATTGTTAGACAGTTTTTTTTTTCACAGACTGGTGAACATCTGTCAATATTTACTTCTGAGAGATTTAACTTGTTCATTTTTTTACACACTTCTGTGATTGAAGGGTTCCCAGCAACTCTAGAAATCAGGGAAAACCTGGAAGATGATTTTTACATTTTCTAAACAGGGAAATCTCAGGATATTTGAATACTGGTCTGCTGGTGAAAAAAGATGATCTTTCTGAGATTTTGGAGTGGATTCTATTATCACTGAGTCCATGTTCAACAAACTGTACCATATTGTCAGCTCTGAATGTGACTCATTTCTGTAAACTAAAATGCTAAAAGGAAGTTAAGACAGCAATTTGAAACCCTTTTCAATCATCGGCATAATATTCAAGCACAAAATCACTCACTGCTACAAATCTTTTCCCCACCTCCTAAGATGCTAAGTTGTGAACATTTTGTGTGACTAAAATATCTCCTGGAATTTCAGGAGGGCAATCAAAAGTTTTTACAAAATGCTGGGAATCCTCAATTGACTAATTAACCTAATTAGTGTCATATGCTGCTCAAACTGTGTTTGTACAATTTAACTTACTACCTCTATCCTCATGTTTTAAAAGTGTTTTGCTGCTATTACACTCAAAAATATCATGATTTTTTTCTCATGTAATCATTTGAAACATTTACAGTGTTCCACTATGAATAAAATGTTTTTATGAGATTTGCAAATTGTTGAATTGTTTTATACCTCAGCCCAACATTTTCAGAATTTGGGGTGCAAATTAAATGAACAAAAGGCACATTTTATCATGTGTATTTTCTAAAAGTTTCTTCATAAATTCATGCTAAATTCACCCTTCAAAATTATAAACTGTGTGCTCTATAAGGTGCTCAGTTCATTGCCATAATTGCTCTAAAGCTAAAAGTAGTGTAGTGGCACTATTTGTAACATTTCAAGAGCTAAATGTCTCTCTGCATCTCTGACCACTCCAGGACCACAGAGGACATCCCCAACAGTTCCCAAGAACATGCCAACACCACAACGGGTCCAGCACAACACACCTGCCATGAGGARGAATCCATCTTTGTCAAGAAACGGGGGCAGTGATGCAGAGATTATGGAGTTAAATCAACAGGTAGCGCAGAGCTGTACCATCAAACATTTTCTTAGTTCTCATAAATATCCACTCATTCACACATGGTATCAACATTATCACTGTCTTTATAAATCAGTCAAAAATAAAAGTTAAAAATCTGTTGTAAAGTTAAAAGCCTAACATTCCTTCTAGAAATCTAATCACCCATATTGTTTCAAATTTTGACATTTTTGAAAATAACTATACAATCACATGTAATCACATCACATGCAAGATCTCACAAAATTTGTTAGCACATTTGTTAGCAGTATGAGTTGGTGATAACTGTCAGCTACTATCATATCAAGTWTTTGCTTAGTATTTCCAAAATTAATTGCCAATTTTTTGTTTTCTAATGTGGATTTTCTGAGGCGACCACCTTGAATTGAGTCGACTMCAAACATATTCACTTGTAGATGTCCATCTAATGATTAATTTTGAAGAGTATCAATAAAATCTRTTCAGTGATTTATGTGATATTATGCTAATGTTACCAACAATTAGGGAGCTAAAAGAGTCTCAGTAGTCACAAATGCACATGTGATTCACACGTGCACACAGGACAGTTCCACATGCATAGAACATGATTTACAAACGAATGGTTAAATTAACCTATTTTAATGACCGACTCAGATTAATGCGGTTCTTTAACGTGACCCGATTTTCTACCTCATGGAAATAGCACTGTTTGAATGGGTTATTGTGATTGGCTTATAAGTAAATCATCCCCTACGTGGGGGACGTCCCTATGATTGCCTGAAACAAGGAAGATATCTGATTGGTTGCATATCATTCTCTGTTAAATAAAGGCACATATGAGTTAAGCCAAGTCAGACGAGTCTCAAAAATCACACACAAACGCAATGAAGTTCACAAGCCACAACCCATTTGTAAATCATGATACTGGATATTTGTGTGTGCATCAGATATACATGTCTGAATCTTGTCCCTGTGCATGTGTGAATCACGTGTGTGCATCTGTGAATATTGAGACACTTTTGGCTCCATAAACAATTACATACACAGACACTTGTGAAATAACCTATAAAGCAGAAGGAGCATCCTGTTTTGCTTTTATACTATAAGCATATATGGTTTAAAAGCATGTTGACACCTTTGCATACTAAAATCATGCTGCTTCATAAGGCAAAAAAAACTGAAATTGAATGAAGAAATTCTATTTTCCTTTTAAAGAAAAGGAAAATAGAATTTCTTCATTCGATTTCAGTTTTTTTAACTGTGTCATTTAATGTCCTCAGCTCCCAAATCCTTAAAAAGTGCTATTTTAGCAAAACGTCATGCACCACCAACCTGTTACCATTTTTTAAAATGCTGGCATCAAAATCAATCATTTGATTTTTTTTTTTTTTAAATTTGCAGTCATTTGGCTTTTAGCTGATATTCAGACAAATGGAATTGATGTAAAATTAAAATACAGCTTGTAAAACACAGTCTGCTTCTAAACCACTTTTTTATATATAAAATAAAAACATTAGATCAGATTATTTTCAACCAACAGCTTTAATATTCTCTTCTCTTAAGTTGATGGAGTTGAAGCTGACAGTTGACGGTCTAGAGAAGGAGAGAGACTTCTACTTCAGCAAACTTCGGGACATCGAGCTCATCTGCCAGGAACATGAGAGTGAAAGCAACCCTGTCCTCAGCAGGATAATTGATATTCTCTACGCAACAGAGGTATCTGTCAATTTGTTATCATGGAATAGACTAAATGTCCTTCTTTAAACAAATTTTGGCAACAATGCATTGTGTTGATTTGAAGAGTTAAAATTATTTGAAATGTGTTCAATTCAGTTTTTTTATATACTACCATTTCGCAATAAAAGTCAGGATTTTCAACTATTTTCTCAAGAATKTTTGAGGTAAATGGGAGATTAGATATAGGTCTATAATTGTTCAGAACTCCTGAATCAAGATCGAGTTTCTTAAGTAAAGATTTAATTACAGCAACCTTAAACCGCTGTGGCACATAACCATCCGAGACAAATYAAGCAGATCCAAAACGGAGATTTTAATTAGGAGAAATGCTTCTTTGAACAGTCTGGTTGGGTGAAACTATTATTTTAGACAATTCAGAGCTCAACAGGACAAAAACAGTCCAAGCCTAAATCAGGTTCTAGTAACACATCTAAAGTTGGCTTATCTGATGGGGAACCAGCAGGGGCAGAATTTTATATCTAGTTGAAATAATTACTGTATATTTATAAAGAAATCTCATGAAGTCCTCACTACTCAGAGTTATAGGGATACATGGATCAACAAAAATAAAGTGGGGTGTGAAAGTTTGGGCAGCCTTGTTAATTTTCCTGATTTACCTTTTATAAATCATTGATTGTTTGGATAAAAAATTCAGTTAAATATTTCATATAGGGGACAAACACAGTGATATTTGAGAAGTGAAATAAAGTTTATATGATTTACAGAAAGTGTGCAATAATTGGTTAAACAAAATTAGGCAGGYGCATAAATTTGGGCACTGTTGTCATTTTATTGATTTCAAAACCTTTAGAACTAAATATTGGAACTCAAATTTGGTTTGGTAAGTTCAGTGACCCTTGACCTCCATACACAGGTGACTCCAATTGTGAGAAAGGGCATTTAAGGGAGGCAATTGTAGGTTTTTCTCCTCTTTGCATCTTCTCTGAAGAGTCGCAGCATGGGAGTCTCAAAACAACTTTCAAATGAGCTGAAAACAAAGATTGTTCACCGTCATGGTTTAGGGCAGGCATGTCAAACATACAGCCCGCGGGCCGGACCCGGCCCGTTGGGTGATTTAATCCGGCCCGGCATAAATTTCTGAGTATGTCAAAAAAAGAAGCGAGTCTCTAGCTCATTTCGATCAAAAGTTATGATTTTTTAAAATAAATACAAAC